CATACATCTGACTTGGATTTTACATAAATTGCGTAATTATACTCTGACTTACGTAAATTCGACTTACGCAGTTATCGCTCGGTCCCACCTATCGTGTAAGTTCGGGGTATTACTGTATTCATAATTCATCATCATTTTTTTGAATATTCCAATATAAAATGGAGGATAAAAATTGACCTGAAGCAGATCTTAGGTGTAGGTTGAAAATATTTATCTTTATCATATTGAAAGTTCTTCACTGGTCTGATATTACGTTTTTTGGAATGTTTCATTCATTTACATGATTGGTATTGTTTGTATTGTAAAGAAAATTTTTGAATCACACATTCTTTATCATAATCTTAAAATGTTATTCAATACTTTACATAAGAAATTTTCTGAAAATGATTACAGTGCAACAATTAGGTTCAGAACCAATTTTCTTGTCATATTACTAGTGGTCTGTTCACTTGGCTGACTATTGAAGTAATTAGACATTCATCTCAGGTAAATGCAGGTTTATTGAATTGCATTGTTTGACTGGTAAGTTATTCAAGTTTTTACTTAGCATTGTTTCTTGTATTACAATTTTAAACATGAAAGAGCAAGTTGTGATCAAATTTTGCTTAAAACTCAAAAATAAAATCAGTTACTGAAACAAATGAAATGTTGAGAAAGGCATATGGAGAGAGTTGCTTATGTTTAATAATGTTCAAGAGGCATAAGCTTTTAGAAATGGTGGAATTGTTGGATGATGGTGAAAGAACTGAGTTATCTATGCACATTGTATACTACAGATTGCATTGAGAAATCTTTGCTGAGGATCAAATGTTAGCAATTTGAATTCTTGAACAATTAACTGGAATTAGTGGAGTAGTAGTGAGACAAATCTTTAACTCAGATGAAAATTCTTTGAAATCATTTATAACAGCAGTAAATCTTGGTGCTTCATAAAATCCAAAATCATAAGGATCAAACTATTTTCATTTTCAGGCAGTCAAAATAGTCTTTTTTTAGAAATGGTTTCAGAATAATTATACAGCCATTTTAAGCTAATAATTTCAAAAAATAAC